CCATGGTAACCGTCGTCACCCATGGTAACCGTCGTCACCTATGGTTACCATCGTCACCCATGGTAACCATCGTCACCCATGGTAACCGTCGTCACCCATGGTAACCGTCGTCACCCATGGTTACCATCGTCACCCATGGTAACCATCGTCACCCATGGTAACCGTCGTCACCCATGGTAACCGTCGTCACCCATGGTTACCATCGTCACCCATGGTAACCATCGTCACCCATGGTAACCGTCGTCACCCATGGTTACCATCGTCACCCATGGTTACCATCGTCACCCATGGTTACCATCGTCACCCATGGTTACCATCGTCACCCATGGTTACCATCGTCACCCATGGTTACCATCGTCACCCATGGTAACCGTCGTCACCCATGGTAACCGTCGTCACCCATGGTTACCATCGTCACCCATGGTAACCATCGTCACCCATGGTAACCGTCGTCACCCATGGTTACCATCGTCACCCATGGTTACCATCGTCACCCATGGTTACCATCGTCACCCATGGTTACCCTCGTCACCCATGGTTACCATCGTCACCCATGGTAACCGTCGTCACCCATGGTTACCATCGTCACCCATGGTTACCATCGACACCCATGGTAACCGTCGTCACCCACAGTGGTTACCATCGTCACCCATGGTTACCATCGTCACCCATGGTAACCATCGTCACCCATGGTTACCATCGTCACCCATGGTTACCATCGTCACCCATGGTTACCATCGTCACCCATGGTTACCATCGTCACCCATGGTTACCATCGTCACCCATGGTTACCATCGTCACCCATGGTTACCATCGTCACCCATGGTAACCGTCGTCACCCATGGTTACCATCGTCACCCATGGTTACCATCGACACCCATGGTAACCGTCGTCACCCACAGTGGTTACCATCGTCACCCATGGTTACCATCGTCACCCATGGTTACCATCGTCACCCATGGTTACCATCGTCACCCATGGTAACCATCGTCACCCATGGTAACCATCGTCACCCATGGTTACCATCGTCACCCATGGTTACCATCGTCACCCATGGTAACCGTCGTCACCCATGGTTACCATCGTCACCCATGGTTACCATCGTCACCCATGGTTACCATCGTCACCCATGGTTACCATCGTCACCCATGGTTACCATCGTCACCCATGGTAACCGTCGTCACCCATGGTTACCATCGTCACCCATGGTTACCATCGACACCCATGGTAACCGTCGTCACCCACAGTGGTTACCATCGTCACCCATGGTTACCATCGTCACCCATGGTAACCATCGTCACCCATGGTTACCATCGTCACCCATGGTTACCATCGTCACCCATGGTTACCATCGTCACCCATGGTTACCATCGTCACCCATGGTTACCATCGTCACCCATGGTTACCATCGTCACCCATGGTTACCATCGTCACCCATGGTAACCGTCGTCACCCATGGTTACCATCGTCACCCATGGTTACCATCGACACCCATGGTAACCGTCGTCACCCACAGTGGTTACCATCGTCACCCATGGTTACCATCGTCACCCATGGTTACCATCGTCACCCATGGTTACCATCGTCACCCATGGTAACCATCGTCACCCATGGTAACCATCGTCACCCATGGTTACCATCGTCACCCATGGTTACCATCGTCACCCATGGTAACCGTCGTCACCCATGGTTACCATCGTCACCCATGGTTACCATCGTCACCCATGGTTACCATCGTCACCCATGGTTACCATCGTCACCCATGGTTACCATCGTCACCCATGGTAACCGTCGTCACCCATGGTTACCATCGTCACCCATGGTTACCATCGACACCCATGGTAACCGTCGTCACCCACAGTGGTTACCATCGTCACCCATGGTTACCATCGTCACCCATGGTTACCATCGTCACCCATGGTAACCATCGTCACCCATGGTTACCATCGTCACCCATGGTTACCATCGTCACCCATGGTTACCATCGTCACCCATGGTTACCATCGTCACCCATGGTTACCATCGTCACCCATGGTAACCATCGTCACCCATGGTAACCGTCGTCACCCATGGTTACCATCGTCACCCATGGTTACCATCGTCACCCATGGTAACCGTCGTCACCCACAGTGGTTACCATCGTCACCCATGGTAACCATCGTCACCCATGGTTACCATCGTCACCCATGGTTACCATCGTCACCCATGGTTACCATCGTCACCCATGGTTACCATCGTCACCCATGGTTACCATCGTCACCCATGGTTACCATCGTCACCCATGGTAACCGTCGTCACCCACAGTGGTTACCATCGTCACCCATGGTTACCATCGTCACCCATGGTTACCATCGTCACCCATGGTTACCATCGTCACCCATGGTTACCATCGTCACCCATGGTAACCGTCGTCACCCACAGTGGTTACCATCGTCACCCACGGTTACCATCGTCACCCATGGTTACCATCGTCACCCATGGTAACCGTCGTCACCCACAGTGGTTACCATCGTCACCCATGGTTACCATCGTCACCCATGGTTACCATCGTCACCCATGGTTACCATCGTCACCCATGGTTACCATCGTCACCCATGGTTACCATCGTCACCCATGGTAACCGTCGTCACCCACAGTGGTTACCATCGTCACCCATGGTTACCATCGTCACCCATGGTTACCATCGTCACCCATGGTTACCATCGTCACCCATGGTAACCGTCGTCACCCACAGTGGTTACCATCGTCACGCATGGTTACCATCGTCACCCATGGTTACCATCGTCACCCATGGTTACCATCGTCACCCATGGTTACCATCGTCACCCATGGTTACCATCGTCACCCATGGTTACCATCGTCACCCATGGTAACCGTCGTCACCCACAGTGGTTACCATCGTCACCCATGGTTACCATCGTCACCCATGGTTACCATCGTCACCCATAGTAGTTACCATCGTCACCCATGGTTACCATCGTCACCCATAGTAGTTACCATCGTCACCCATGGTTACCATCGTCACCCATAGTAGTTACCATCGTCACCCATAGTAGTTACCATCGTCACCCATGGTAACCATCGTCACCCACAGTGGTTACCATGGGTGACCATATTAGACCATGGTTCGGTAGTAGTATGAGTATATTGCTCAGTAGCTAAGATGAATATGGCTTAGTAACCAAATTCACTATATGATTAAGGCTATAGTAGGAGTAGTATGGCTCAGTAGCTAATATGGCAATATGGCTCAGTAGGCAGTATGACTTTATGGTTCAGTAGCCAGTATGGCAATATGTCTCAGTAGACAATATGATTTTATGGCTCAGTAGCCAGTATGGCAACATGGCTCAGTAGGCAGTATGACTTTATGGCTCAGTAGCCAGTATGGCAACATGGCTCAGTAGCTAGTATGGCAACATGGCTCAGTAGCTAGTATGACAATATGGCTCAGTAGCCAGTATGACAATATGGCTCAGTAGCCAATATGACAATATGGGTCAGTAATCTGTATGGCAACATGGCTCAGTAGCCAGTATGGCAACATGGCTCAGTAGCTAGTATGGCAACATGGCTCAGTAGCCAGTATGGCAATATGGGTCAGTAATCTGTATGGCAACATGGCTCAGTAGCCAGTATGACAATATGGCTCAGTAGCCAATATGACTCAGTAGCCAGTATGGCAACATGGCTCAGTAGCCAGTATGGCTCAGTAACCAGTATGGCAACATGGCTCAGTAGCCAGTATGGCAACATGGCTCAGTAGCCAGAATGACAATATGACTCAGTAGCCAGTATGGCAACATGGCTCAGTAGCCAGTATGACAATATGGCTCAATAACCAGTACGGCAACGTAGCTCAGTTGCCAGTATGACAATATGGCTCAGTAACCAGTATGGCAACATGACTCAGTAGCCAATATGGTAACATGGCTCAGTAGCCAGTATGGTAATATGGCTCAGTAGATAGAATGACAACATGGTTAAGTAGCTAGTATGGCAGCATGGCTCAGTAGCCAGTATGGTAATATGGCACAGTAGATTGTATGGCAACATGGCTCAGTAGCTAGTATGGCAGCATGGCTCAGTAGCTATTATGGCAGCATGGCTCAGTAGCCAGTATGGTAATATGGCTCAGTAGATTGTATGACAACATGGTTAAGTAGCTAGTATGGCAGCATGGCTCAGTAGCTATTATGGCAACAGCTCAGTGGATCATGTAAAAACAAAATGGATCATAACAAATGTTTATTACTAGTGACTTAGATAACAATGAATATCATGTACAATATATACAAGTTGTATGTTGTGGAGGTAGTTGTAGTTACTGCAGCTTATTGAGGTGGTGTGGGGTAGATGGTAGATGGCTACGGTAGTGATGTGGAGGCCGCTGTTGTGGGTGTAGACGGTAGATGATGTGGGGAGTTGCTGAGGGTCACTGTGGATGATGTAGTGTGGGTGCAGACCGTAGATGATGTAGGAGTCACTGCTGTGGGTGTAGACGGTAGTTGATGGTGAACGGGTGAGGACAGGTGGAGCTGGTGCAGGTGGTGTGAGGGTCAGGGCAAGTGGTGGAGGGGTCAGGGCAGGTGGTGGAGCTGGTGCAGGTGGTGTGAGGGTCAGGGCAAGTGGTGGAGGGGTCAGGGCAGGTGGTGGAGCTGGTGCAGGTGGTGTAAGGGTCAGGGCAAGTGGTGGAGGGGTCAGGGCAAGTGGTGGAGCTGGTGCAGGTGGTGTAAGGGTCAGGGCAAGTGGTGGAGGGGTCAGGGCAAGTGGTGGAGCTGGTGCAGACGGTGTGAGGGTCAGGGCAAGTGGTGGAGGGGTCAGGGCAAGTGGTGGAGCTGGTGCAGGTGGTGTAAGGGTCAGGGCAAGTGGTGGAGGGGTCAGGGCAAGTGGTGGAGCTGGTGCAGACGGTGTGAGGGTCAGAGCAAGTGGTGGAGGGGTCAGGGCAAGTGGTGGAGCTGGTGCAGGTGGTGTGAGGGTCAGGGCAAGTGGTGGAGGGGTCAGGGCAGGTGGTGGAGCTGGTGCAGACGGTGCAGGAGGGGGTGTGGGGGCAGGAGGGGGTGCCGTTGGTGGGTTCTGATGTGCTTTTTAAGGTGATCCTTTCGACCGAAGCGTTTGTCACAGAGGGGACAGGGGAAGGGCCGGGCGCCGCTGTGGATGCGTCGGTGGCGGGTCAGCTCCTCGTTACGGGTGAAGCGCTTGTGGCAGCCATGGTGTGCGCATGCGTACGGCCTCTCCCCTGTGTGGATCCTCACGTGACCCCTCAACTGACCCTTGTTGCTGAAGGCTGACCCACACTCGCTGCACGCGAATCTCTTAGGCCTTGCGCGCGCTCGCCCGCACACGCGCTCTACTTCCGCCGCGGGTACTAGCATATCTAGGAGGGGCACGAGGGGCCCCATGCCCCCCAGCCCTGCCAGGGACCCCAGTAGGGGCACTGTGCCCATTCCTGTCACCGGGGGCACGAACCCCGCCATGCTGCTTATTCCCGCCATCATGCCCATAGCGCCGGAGGTTGCCAGACAGTGTGGCATTGGCGGCGGCATGGGCGGCGGCGGCGGCGCCAGCCCACGTAGATGAGCCATTAGTGGGTTGGCCATCCTCACTACGCCCACATCGCCGCCCTCACTCTTCAAATACTTGACAGGCAGAGAGTTTTCATTGTCCGGAGCGGGGCGCTTGACACGCCCGCCCATAGCCTCGCTCCTGGTGGGCGGCGGGGCGTGGGCAGCGCCCATGTACGACTGCCAGGGTCTGAAGATGGACGGGGAGGAGTTGTGCGGGGTGTGGCTGGTCATGTCTCAAGCCCACACTCGCTCCTCAACCATCACACGCACCCACCACAGGTCACACTTGAGCGAGGTCACACTTGAGTGACGTCACACTTGAAGCAGGTCACACTTGAGTGACGTCACACGTGAAGCAGGTTACACTTGAGCGAGGTCACACTTGAGTGACGTCACACTTGAAGAAGGTCACACTTGAGTGAGGTCACACGTGAAGCAGGTTACACTTGAGCGAGGTCACACTTGAGTGACGTCACACGTGAAGCAGGTTACACTTGAGCGAGGTCACACTTGAGTGACGTCACACTTGAAGAAGGTCACACTTGAGTGAGGTCACACGTGAAGCAGGTTACACTTGAGCGAGGTCACACTTGAGTGACGTCACATGTGAACCAGGTCACACTTGAGTGAGGTCACACGTGAACCAGGTCACACTTGAGTGACGTCACATGTGAAACAGGTCACACTTGGAGTCAAATCACTGCTGAGGATAATCAGAAATCAACTTGCGCTTCTGGTGTCAACTTGTTAACTTGCGGTAGCAGGTCACACCAAAGTCAGCCTTAGGGAAGGTCACTCTAAAATGTTCTTGAAGGTCACTCTAAAATGTTCTTGAAGAAGGTTACTCTAAAATGTTCTTGAAGAATGTCACTCTAAAATGTTCTTGAAGAAGGTTACTCTAAAATGTTCTTGAAGAATGTCACTCTAAAATGTTCTTGAAGAAGTTCACTCTAAAAATGTTCTTGAAGGAGGTCACTCTAAAATGTTCTTGAAGGTCACTCTAAAATGTTCTTGAAGAAGTTCACTCTAAAATGTTCTTGAAGAAGGTCACTCTAAAAATGTTCTTGAAGGAGGTCACTCAAAAATGTTCTTGAAGGAGGTCACTCTAAAATGTTCTTGAAGGAGGTCACTCTAAAATGTTCTTGAAGAAGGTCACTCTAAAATGTTCTTGAAGGAGGTCACTCAAAAATGTTCTTGAAGAAGGTCACTCTAAAATGTTCTTGAAGGAGGTCACTCAAAAATGTTCTTGAAGAAGGTCACTCTAAAATGTTCTTGAAGGAGGTCACTCTAAAATGTTCTTGAAGGAGGTCACTCAAAAATGTTCTTGAAGAAGGTCACTCTAAAATGTTCTTGAAGGAGGTCACTCAAAAATGTTCTTGAAGAAGGTCACTCAAAAATGTTCTTGAAGGAGGTCACTCAAAAATGTTCTTGAAGGAGGTCACTCTAAAATGTTCTTAAAGAAGGTCACACTACGTTAGAGACACACCCGACAAAGCCACTCGTGTTCCAGGTCACACTAGAGCGAGGGAAATCGTACCCGTCACTCTTCCGCTAGGTCACTTCTAAGGAAGTGTGCACGAGGCAGTTCACACCAGGTCACCCTTGAGGCAGGTCACAGCCAAGGAAAAGCCACAGGATATCCCTCGAGGCAGGACAGGTTAATGTTGATGGGATGGCCGGGGAGGAGAAGAGTGGAGGCGGGAGAAGCTCAGGGCCGTGAAGCATCCACTCTGACCTCTGGGGAGACACTGATGAGAGCGGGACAGGACGGGGGCATATATAGCCTCCAGGGACCCCCCCCCCCACTATCCATTAACCCCCGACCCCACCCCACTAGTTCCTCCTCTCCCTCTGGTTACTCCTCTCTCTCTCTAGTTCCCATGCATCCCCCTCCTCCCTTGCTCACCCTCTCCTGACCCCGTCGCCTGCACCCCTTTCCCCCTGCTCCCCGTCCCCTGTACCCCGTCCCCTGCACCCCCTTCCCCTGCATCCCGTCCCCTGCACTCCTGTCCCCTATACCCCGGTCCCCTGCACCCCCGATCCCCTGCATCCCCATCCCCTACACCCCTTTCGGCTGCACCCCCGATCCCCTGAATCCCTGTCCCCTATACCCTCCATCCCCTACACCCTGTCCCCTGCTCCCCGTCCCCTGCACCCCCGATCCCCTGCACCCCATCCCCTACACCCCTTTCCCCTGCACCCCCGATCCCCTGTATCCCTGTCCCCTATACCCCCATCCCCTACACCCCGCTTCCCCTGTATCTCGACCCCTGCACCCCGTCCCCTGCACCCCGTCCCTTACACTCCCTCCCGCTCTTGTGTAGACTTCACTGAAGGACCCCCTCTCATTGTGGGGTGTCCCTCTCCCGTCCCTCCCCAGTGTGGGAGAGGCCGGCCGCGGTGGAGTACCCTGACCGCCGCCATTGTGCGCGGTGGGCCGCAATTAGGCATAAATATTGGCACGTCAGAGGCCAACAAAGAGGTGCTCGGGATCGGAGCTGCCATTTCTGGCGGCTAAATATGTTGACATCTGGCCTAATGCATCAACAAGGCAGAGCCAATTGTGGGAGGGTCGCGTGTGGCGCCATGGCCGGCCCGCCTGTGGTGGAGTGGGGGGCGTGTCGCCCTTACGGACCCCGCGCCCACCATGCCACCCACCTTCCGCTCGAGGGGACTTATGTCCGTGTGACGGGCGTGGTGAGGCCGGCTGTCGCCCCAGGCCATCTTCACTACTCTCCTCAGTCGTCTCGTGAGGAGGTTACTGACATGAGGGTAGATAAAGCATGAGGCGAAGGTGGCAACAGGTGGGGCCGGCCATGACAGGCGGGAGGTCGTCCAATAGGCGCCGCCCACGCCGGCGTCTCGCCCGCCTCGACACGCCCCCATTGGCCCAGCTGCCGCGCCCCTCTTATGTTACGGAGACTGGCGTCACCCCTCCACCCCCCACCTTCCCCCGCCGGCCATTGGCACAAATGCGTCACCCCTTAGAAGTTACGGGGACAACACGCCCACATTGGTGCAGCTGCTTCGCCCCTCTGACGTCACAGGGACATCACGCCCACATTGGTGCAGCTGCTTCACCCCTCTGACGTCACAGGGACAACACGCACACATTGGTGCAGCTGCTTCACCCCTCTGATGTCACAGGGACATCACGCCCACATTGGTGCAGCTGCTTCACCCCTCTGACGTCACAGAGACATCACGCCCACATTGGTGCAGCTGCTTCACCCCTCTGACGTCACAGGGACATCACGCCCACATTGGTGCAGCTGCTTCACCCCTCTGACGTCACAGGGACATCACGCCCACATTGGTGCAGCTGCTTCACCCCTCTGACGTCACAGGGACAGCACGCACACATTGGTGCAGCTGCTTCACCCCTCTGACGTCACAGGGACATCACGCCCACATTGGTGCAGCTGCTTCACCCCTCTGACGTCACAGGGACAGCACGCACACATTGGTGCAGCTGCTTCACCCCTCTGACGTCACGTGTTTACAGTCTCAGTGGTTCTAACCTGTCGTAGGTTTGACATAAACGTTTCTGGAAACAGTCTCGTTATGAATCTCAAAACGTTCTATTTCCTCGTCTTGTGTATCTGGGGTGCGGGATGCGTGAGACGTTCCAGTGGGGGAGGTGAATATGGGTCTTTACGGCGCGTTGAAGGACCCTTGTTTAGGGGTCCTGGAAGGAATTTTTATATCTGCTAGTTAAGCATATGCCGCTGATGCTATTATATTAAGGTGTACCTCCTGGATGAGGTTCCTTGTGGTGTGAGCAACCTATTGTTTGTCCTCTTCAAGTTCTTCAAGTGTATCTTGCTATATGTCCTTCCGGTCTCCTGTCTAACCTACCTGCTTGTATAACACCCCGCCCGGGTAACACCCCGCCCGGGTAACATCCCGCCCGGGTAACACCCCGCCCGGGTAACATCCCGCCCGGGTAACATCCCGCCCGGGTAACACCCCGCCCGGGTAACATCCCGCCCGGGTAACATCCCGCCCGGGTAACACCCCGCCCGGGTAACACCCCGCCCGGGTAACATCCCGCCCGGGTAACATCCCGCCCGGGTAACATCCCGCCCGGGTAACATCCCGCCCGGGTAACACCCCGCCCGGGTAACACCCCGCCCGGGTAACATCCCGCCCGGGTAACATCCCGCCCGGGTAACATCCCGCCCGGGTAACATCCCGCCCGGGTAACATCCCGCCCGGGTAACACCCCGCCCGGGTAACACCCCGCCCGGGTAACATCCCGCCCGGGTAACATCCCGCCCGGGTAACACCCCGCCCGGGTAACATCCCGCCCGGGTAACACCCCGCCCGGGTAACATCCCGCCCGGGTAACACCCCGCCCGGGTAACACCCCGCCCGGGTAACATCCCGCCCGGGTAACATCCCGCCCGGGTAACATCCCGCCCGGGTAACACCCCGCCCGGGTAACACCCCGCCCGGGTAACATCCCGCCCGGGTAACATCCCGCCCGGGTAACATCCCGCCCGGGTAACATCCCGCCCGGGTAACATCCCGCCCGGGTAACATCCCGCCCGGGTAACACCCCGCCCGGGTAACACCCCGCCCGGGTAACATCCCGCCCGGGTAACATCCCGCCCGGGTAACATCCCGCCCGGGTAACACCCCGCCCGGGTAACATCCCGCCCGGGTAACACCCCGCCCGGGTAACACCCCGCCCGGGTAACACCCCGCCCGGGTAACCCCGCCCGGGTAACACCCCGCCCGGGTAACACCCCGCCCGGGTAACACCCCGCCCGGGTAACACCCCGCCCGGGTAACACCCCGCCCGGGTAACATCCCGCCCGGGTAACATCCCGCCCGGGTAACATCCCGCCCGGGTAACATCCCGCCCGGGTAACATCCCGCCCGGGTAACATCCCGCCCGGGTAACACCCCGCCCGGGTAACATCCCGCCCGGGTAACACCCCGCCCGGGTAACACCCCGCCCGGGTAACACCCCGCCCGGGTAACACCCCGCCCGGGTAACACCCCGCCCGGGTAACATCCCGCCCGGGTAACATCCCGCCCGGGTAACATCCCGCCCGGGTAACATCCCGCCCGGGTAACATCCCGCCCGGGTAACACCCCGCCCGGGTAACACCCCGCCCGGGTAACATCCCGCCCGGGTAACATCCCGCCCGGGTAACACCCCGCCCGGGTAACATCCCGCCCGGGTAACACCCCGCCCGGGTAACATCCCGCCCGGGTAACAC